CCTTGTGGACAAGAGAGTTAGAAAGGGTAACTTAAATTACTCCAAAGGAACGAAAACCATAAAAAAAACCACATTTATTTTTCTAGCCACCATAAAGTTGCCATCAATTTAAAGAAGAACAGAGACAAAACAGAGAAGAGTGCCCTGGGACAGGCTAATACCTATAAGCAGGTCAGCTCCAGGGGTGAGAGGAGTTTTCCAAACTGCAGGGCTGACTGCTGAGCTCCTAAATGACCCTCTCCCACCCCAGGACAGTTTGTTTTCCACAGTCTCCCTCCCAGGAGCCTACAGACACAAGTACCCGTCACATGAACATATGAGAGGTCCAGCCAAGCCTTTTGAGGATCTCTGACCAAAAATGGGCCAAATGACCAGCCTGCCTCCTCTAAGTACGGACCATTTAAGACTAACAGCAGGAGGGAACCACTGAAAAAGGGCTGGGACAGAACCAACAAACCATGCCCACCTCACCATGAGCTCTGCTGTTCTGATCACAGCCACCACCCAAGGGCTCTCTGGCTTGTTAATGCCCTTCACCGAGTCATTTTAGAGTGCTAATTTGGCAGAAACCCCCCTGTATTTATCCTGGGCTAGCTTCCTGCTGGGTTAGCTTGCTGAGAAGGCTCAGCTAAGGGCCACTGCCACGCCAGAGCACGAGCCACGGACAGGGCAGGACTGAACCCGGACAGCTCAATCAGCTCAGGCAGGTGTGGAGCACAAACCTACATGGAATAACAGCTGTTGGGGCTTTCTGCTCCTCACCCTCTCACAGCCTTGTGTTCACTCTGTGAGCAGCTGGGGTGGCCAGCATCCCTCTGCTCCCATGTCCTGCTGGAGCCAGAGCTCCTGAGCATCCTGCATCCACGTCCCAAGCACCAGGTTCCTGTGGTTCCAGGTGGTGTGCCAGAGTCTACCTCAGGCACCCAACTTTGGGAAATCAGCCAGCCCGGCGTGCAGCCCGGCACTTCCCTAACGTTTTAATCCAGTGGACTCCAAACAGGAGCGGAGATCTGGACATTTCTAAGGCAGTTCTTCAGGGAGACCCTGCAGCTGGCCCAGACCCACAGCCAGTTGTACAAGCCCGAAGCAGATGCTGACAGCCAAGCACAGCTTTAAGCAGGTTCCCCCACGTCCCCCCAGGCACTGCCGTGTGCCCCATCCCTGCCACCCCTCGAGCTGCTCGGCTCAAGAGCTCAGTCCCACTCGGCTGTTGGTGCAGGACCTTGAACAAGTACTAAATAAATGAACAAGTCATTTCCTGCAAGGCCAAACAAGTTCCCTGCCAAAGAGGTCACATACCACACTCTGGCCTGATGCCTCTCCTGAGTTTATGAGGGTAAATTCCCACATCCAGGGGTCCAACGATTACAGCATTACATCTGGGCTAGGATTACTCGCACTGGAGCTTGGATTACGCTCTGCTGGAGAGGTGAGGAAAACAACTGCTTTTGTGCTTTCATTGCATGACCTCTAAAGTTCGGTTTGGGTTTCTTGGTTTGCACAAACTAAAACATTCAAATGAAATCAGGGAGTTTTCACTTAACTCCCAGCCAGAGGACCAGGATCTGTCACACCAAGGTTCTTCAACGTTATTTTGGCAGTAAGGAGATCTGTAAGGAAAAGCCCTCTGAGGCAGGGCCCGTGACAAAGCGGTCAGGAGGAAACAGCCTACGTGGCTCATTCCAGTCCTGTGAGCTCCTCCAGCCACACAGGGGTGCAAGGCAGACATGCCAGGATCTTTGCTCCCATCTCCCACCACACCATCCAGGATCGCTCAGAGGCTTTCTGTGAATGTGTTCTCATGACACAGATGCTCTCAACCCTCCACAGGCCACAAGGACCAGGCAATTATCAGTCCTGTGAAAACAGCCTGAGCTTTGGATTTGGGGTAATTCTCAGAGCCAGTCAAAATGCAGGCCTTGCTCCACCCCTCTAAATACTTCACTCCCAATCAAGTTAAAACAAGACTTATAAGCAACCCAAATCTTCCATGCTTGAATCACACAGGCAACTCCATGTGCTTGGATGTGCCCATCCCCATGAGTAAGGCCTGCAGAATCGGACCCAGCTTTCCCTTACCCTCCTGCCAAAAACACAGGAACACAGAAAGAAGAAAAGAAAAACCCACTGACTGATGCCCCTGCTATTTTTGCTGTCTGACAGCAAACTGGTAAAAGGCCTGACTCAGAAGCCTCTCTTGAAAAACCTGAATCATTACTATTTGAGAGATGGTCTCATGTAATGAAGTCTCCACTCCTCCTTCTCTTTAGAAGAGAGAATTTGAGTCAGACTAATGGGGGGGGACAAAAAAGGAAAAAAAAAAAAAGAACTTCATGCTTCCTTTGGCTCTTTCTGCAAGGATGGCAGGGTCACTCAGTCCAGCAGTTGGCAGCTGGACTTGGGGTCTGTAGGGCCGTGTTTGATCTCAGTTACACCTCTCAGTTACCAATGTGACTCTCTTAACGTGAGAGCATAACCACAGAGTTACACTGCCTGAAGAGAGAAAGAGGCATCCCAGCTGTATGTTCACTGCCCGGATAAACTATGGGAACTTGGATTTCTTCTTAATATGCACTGTATCTATTTCTGAAAACCTGAGCCTTGTGGAATATAGAGATCATTGGAATGAGCCTCATATAAACATTATAATGTTTTAACACTTTGTTATTACGCATCATTTAGCATCAGGAGATCTCAAAGCCACTTAGACAAAGAGCCTCCTTTTCAAGACCCAGCCAAACGAGACACGGAGAGATTAAGTCCCTCAGAAAAGCAGTGGGAGGCACCACAAGAGAAACCCAGAACTTGTGCCCTGTCCCCGAGAGTTGCTCACTCCAGATGGTTCATCAATTAAAACACTGTGGTTACCTGCCTCTCCAGAAGGGTTCTAGCCTGTTTCCTGCAGGGAGATGCAGTACACACACTTCACAGAGGAGGCTCTGGCACCTCACACCCCTCTGCACACACAGGTCACCACTGACCTGAAAAGCCATGCTCCTCCAGATCCAGGCCACAGCCAGCCAGTGCCTGAGGGGAGGGGGACTGACTGAGAAAACCAGCAGCATTAAAAATGACAATGTATCATCCTAAAAGGTGATTCAAGCCTGGGGTTACCGAGCTGGATCACACCTCCACGCGAAGGCTCTCCAGGAGCAGCAGCCACTCCAGCACCTCCACTGCAGCCGAGCAAAGCCCACACCCGGCCTGACACTGTGGGTCCCTCTGGCAGCAAGGGCACGAGGGAGCCGTGCCAGCCCCACACACCACGAGTGCCCCAAACGGCACAGCAAACACCACCCCGGAGCGCAGGGATGGAGAGGCCACTCCACACCGCAGCGCTGCAGTCCAGTCAAAAGTTCGTGCTGGATCTCAAACCCCCCATTTTTATGTGGGAAAAATACTGAAATCGATAAACAGAAGCACACCTTTGCACCTCCCGCCCACAAAGGCCAGAGAGCATCAGGCTGTAGGCGAGGCTCCCCAGAGAGCCTGGTCACTTTGGGCCCCTGCAGAGCCAGCGGATGCAGTGGGCACTGTGGAAAATTTCCACCTGTAAAACGATTCTTCTCCTTGTCACTGCCAGCTCTGCATGGCTGCAGGCACACAGGGCGCCGGGTCTATTGTGCCATTTCTCACCTCTCAGGCTAATTTTAAGCAAACTCTGATCACAACATGAGATGGGCTCCCAAACTGAAGCAAAACAGCGAGAGCTCTGACACAAGTTTGCAGCACCAGCTGGGAAACGTTTGGGCAGCTCAAGCAGAGCACAGACACATGCACCTGTGGCACTGCCATTTACAGCCAACGGAGCTCCCTTTGCATCAGCAGGGACCCTAAAACACGGGAGGGGAATCCACACTGCCCTTCAGGGAGAGGAGTGCACTCTGCCCCTTCTAAAACAGGCCTCAAATTTACCATGTCATTTACAGTTTTTCACATGGCAAAGGCGAGCAGCATGCAGCCAGTCTGCTCTGCTGGAGATGGATCATGACAGAAAGGAGGAAGAGAGCACAAGTCTGGCGCACACCTTCGAACCAGCAGCCTTGACGTTTAGGTAAAGGAAGGATGGACACTGGTGTCACACATCCACGTCTACCGTACAGGTAGACCTAAACATAATTCAGTACATGCACACACTCCTGTTTACTTACAACGATGCTCATGTCTTTCCTGGCCTTACTCCTCGGAAGGAATCACCACGTTTGAGAGAAAAAGCTTAAGTTTTAGAAGACACGTACAAAAAAAAAAAGACAATTAGATTAATTTGAGGGCATTCAAGTCCTGAGCCTTAAAAAACCATCCGAACATCGTTACACTCCATCAGAAACACTGCGCTGAAGCCTTAGCTGGTGTTTGTGCTCTTCCCTAAACATCAGAGCATTCCTCACACCATGCTGGACACCGTGAAACCCTTTAGACACGTCTGTTTATTTAAAAAGCAAATTCGAGTCACGGAGGGGTACGCTCTCCTTCGCTAAAAGGAAAATAAGCCGTGGCTAAATTCTGCTTACACTCAAAGAGCTGCGAAGCGAAACGCGGAGCGGTCCCGATCGCCCCGCGCGCGGCCGGTGCCCGGCGGGCAGGGGACACCCGGACCGAGGGCAGGGGACACCCGGACCGAGGGCACGGTCCCGCCGCCTCGGCCTCGCCCCCGGGACCCCGCTCCGACCGCCCCGAGCCCTCCGCGCCCCCGAGCCCGCGGCCGCCGGGCGGGCCCCGCTCCGCCCCGCCGAGCTCCGACCTCCGGCAACTTGCGCTCCCCTCCGCCCGCGGAGCCGCCGCGCCCCCGGCGCACAACGCCCCGGCCCGGCCGGGCCCCGGCGCGGACCCCCGGCGAGGGGAGCCCCGGCTGCCCCGGCCCCCGCTCCCTCCCTCCGCAGCCCGGCTCCCCCGGCCCCGGCGGCCCGGCCGCGCTGCCGCCCCCCGGCGCGGCCCCGCTCTCCCGGCCCCGCACCGCCGGCCCCGCTCTCCCGGCCCCGCTCTCCCGGCCCCGCACTCACCGCCGCGCGCGGCCGCGCCGCCGGCCAGCAGCAGGGCCAGGGCGGCCAGCACGCCCAGCTGCCCCCGCAGCAGCTCCCCTCGCCCTCGCCGCCGCCGCAGCCGCCGCCGCTCCACCGCCGGGGCGCCCATCGCGGCCGCTCCGCTGCGCTCCGACCGCTCCCCGCGCCGCGCCGAGCCCCGCCGGGCTCCGCAGCACCGCCCCCGACCGCCCCGCACCGCCCGCCCCTGCACGGGCGGGACGGGGCGGGGACGGCCGGGCTGGGGGGCACTGCCCTCAGCCCACTGCCCGCTGCTCCCAACCCACTGCCTACTGCCCTCAGCCCTCAGCCCACTGCCCGCTGCTCCCAACCCACTGCCTACTGCCCACTGCCCTCAGCCCACTGCCCGCTGCTCCCAACCCACTGCCTACTGCCCACTGCCCTCAGCCCACTGCCCACTGCCGTCAGCCCGCTGCCCGCTGCTCCCAACCCACTGCCCACTGCCCTCAGCCCACTGCCCGCTGCTCCCAACCCACTGCCTACTGCCCACTGCCCTCAGCCCACTGCCCGCTGCTCCCAACCCACTGCCTACTGCCCTCAGCCCACTGCCCACTGCTCCCAACCCACTGCCTACTGCTCCCAACCCACTGCCCACTGCTCACTGCCCACTGCTCACTGCTCACTGCTCCCAACCCACTGCCCCCAGCCCACAGCCCAGGGCTTGCACCACCCACAGGGGTCCAGCTGCGGGCACAACCCAGCCTGGCCTCAGGTTCGCTGGGCATCGTTCCCTCGCTCCCACCACAGCTCCCAACCCCGCTGGGGCACTGGGGCACGGGACAGCCCATGCACAGCCGCTCCATCCTTCTGCTGCTGGGGCTCCCAGGTTGGAGGAGCTGGGCTGGCCGGAACCTTTCCTCTGTCTGTAAAGTCATGATTAGTATTGCAACAGTAATGCAGGTATCTGTGGGCTCTGCTGAGCCAGGGGTGTTGTGCACACACACGGGAACAGCTGCCTCTGCAGGGTCCACAGTGGTGCAGGCACACCATTATCCAGGAAGGGCACTGGAATTACATGATGGATCTACCTTTTTTGTTTGGAGAGCCACCTTCAGCTGAGATGAACAGCACGGTAGATGGAATATCTCTGTTCCTATAGTCTGTTTCCCAAGAGCTGCCATGGCTCATGACACAGACAGAAACAAAAGTAAACATCGCTGCAAATATTTTTGATTAGTTATTAAGCACTCTAGTTAGAGAGGGTCTCCTTTCTGAGTAGCACCATCAGTTTCTTGTGATTCTGAAGCTGGCCAGCGGGGCAGTTTCCAGCTCTGCTCTTGTACATTTACCGGCTGTGCTCCTCCACACAACTTCAGCAACACTGCTGTCCCTGTTGGTCCTGGGTAGGCAGAGCCAGCTCCCATCCAGACAGTAAATGGAGTTAACAACTGGCCTAGGATGTAACTATGGAAGAGGTGTTTTGTTTTGGTTTGTGTTTTTTTCCGGATAGGATACACTCCCTTCCCTCTGGCAGGGCAGGTTTTATCCCATGGTAAACAACTGTGAAACCTGTAGCGCTGTGAAACACTTCAGCAAGTCACCCCAACTTACAAAAGAGATCCTGGCTGTCCCACTGCTGGCTCCAACTGATGCCATGGGAAAGCAATCAACCCACTGTGAGGTGAGAGGAGTTTGGGGGTGAACATCCCCATTGCCGACACCACAGAGCACTGTGGCAGTGCTCCCAAAATACTCCCTTTAAATCTAAATGTCTATTTGAAGTCTGTAACTTCTCAAAAATGTGAGCCTGAGAGTCACTGCAAAATCATTACTCTCTCCTCCATCACAGGCCTCCTCTTGTCCCGTTACAGGGCTGTTCATAAATACCAGGCGTGAGCTCGCTCCCTGGAGAATTGAGACTGGGAATATCTGGGAAGCTTAGGAACAAATTTCCCATTCAGAATTACGAAGTAATTTAACAAATTCCTTACTAGCATAGTGAGTACTAGCTCCTGAAACATCTCCATTTCTGGGGAGCAATAAGACAGGAGAATTCCCTCTTCTCTCCCACTAATAAACTGGTGTGTGGGTGGAACAGGCTTTGAACTGCTCCGTCTGCAGGAAGAAACAGAAGGAAGGGAATTGCCATAGATGTTACTCTTATGAAAGAAAAGCTTTATCTTCTACAGGAGTCTTCTACAAGAAAAAACAACTGCTAGAGAAAGAACAGATGTAACTAAGATGCTGCTGAACATTATAGAGTTTACTTTAAATCATCTCTGCCACTTTCATCTTTTCACTCTTGCTTCCCTTCTGACCATTTCAGTACTCTTCAAGGATCATCTCTTGACCACCTAATGCATGAGCAGTGCAGGAACTTAATAACCTGTCACCTTTAGGCCATCAGATCACACCTACATGCCACCTGACTCCTCCTGCTTTAAAAAAAGAAAAGGTATCTGATGATCTCAGCACTCTTTGGGTGCCGATCAGCAAAGGTGCAGATCAGAGGTGCTGTGGCTGTTGGAGCTGGTTGCAGGTAGCAGAGCTTCCATGTGTTCTTTGGAGTTCCTTCTGCAATCCAAGAGAGGAAATCCTATTTAGCTGGCTCAGCACCAGCTGGGCTGAGGGTGGGAGACAGATGCACGAACATCTCCTCTTACACTATCATAGTCTCTGTAGGGCAGGAGCTGCTGCTGCTTTCAGCAACTGCTCACAGGTTCCAGCCAATGTCTGGGTACCTGTGTGTGGTGGGATCCTACCCAAAATAACAGCAGAAGGACTGTCAGTCTGATACTCTTGTTGGACCCATCAGGCCAGGAGCCAGTCTTAACGCCAAACTGAACAGGACTGACTTGTAAGTCTGAATCAGTGTAATGGTGTTCAAGTGTGGATGAAACTTCACCTTGGGGCTGAAAAAGAGCAGAGGTGCTAAGGAAAGTCTTCCTTTCCCAGCCATATCCTGCAAGGCTTTACTGATGCACACACATTCTGCACAGGTCACTGCTGGCATCTCTGCTTGCTGCCAGGTGGACCATTCTCCAAGGAGGGCCATGGGCACTCCAGAGGAGGTTCCCTTAGCTCTGCAAGGGCCCTAGGAAGGTTCCCACAGAGCTGGCTCTCAGAGGGGCAGGAAGAGGTGCTCCTGTTTCTTTCCAGAGCCTCATCACAGTATAAAACCACATAAAGCATTAGGAGAAAACCGTGTAAATCACAGGATACAGATGTGCAGAGATGACAGCCAGATGTGCCTTAGCGGAGCTAAGGAGCAGTCACGACTGTTGCAAGGAGAGCAAACAGCCTCGCGTACTTGGCGTTTTCCCCTGCAAGCCATGCCAAGTTCTGCTCTTCAGACCAAATAGAGATTTTCTTCTGTTTGGACTGGCAGATTATGCTCACAAAGAGCTTTCAACTCTGGAGAAAAATATTTGGGATTCATGCAGAGCGGAATGTTTCGGTGTACACTGGCCAGTCAGAACCCAGCTGCCAGGGATGGTGATCCCCAACTGGCGGGCAGCACCCCGGGTCCACTCGGAGGGCTGACGGGGGATGGACACCAGTACGTGAGAGTGGTCCTGGAGCTTTGGCCAAACACGGACAGGGGCACCATCAGGCTGGGGTTGGGCAGTGCTTCCCAGCAGAGACCACCCTGAGGCACCTGCGTGGCACAATCACCAAGTCTTGCTGCTGTTGCTCACACAGAACTGCTGTGGAGACCCACCTGAGCAGTGCGGGTGGCCCAGAAAGGACAGTGGGGGGTTCCTTGCACTTTCAGTCCAGGCTCTGCTTTTCCAGCACAGCCCCCGAGCCCTTGCTCCCACTCTCTGCCTACACAGAAAGCCTCACCCTTCTCCTCAGGCGTCACCTGGCGCACACACACGTTAGCTGGTTGTACATCCACTCTGAGCTTCGGTGTCAGGGCTGCGGTGCCTGAGCACAGCTGCAGTTCAAGGTTCAAAGCAACAGCCTCTCAGCAGGACAGGGGTAGCTCAGCGTGGTTGCTCGTCTCCTGTGAAGTAAGACAGGCTGGCTTACACCAGCTGTTTAATCTGCAAGCCTTAGGCACACACACATCCTCTGCAAGCCACAGAGAGGATGCAATTAAGCACTCTGCTGATTACCGCTGGTGGCAGCTCCCTCCTTCCTGCCTGGGATCCCTCGGTGAGCAGAAAGCCTGTGTGGGTGATCCTCCCCTGCTCCCACGTGGAGTTCCGTGTCTGAATGAGCCAGTTCCAGTAAATCCGACCAGCCTTGCCCTGAGAGAGGTCAGGGGGTGGGTGTACACAGGGATGTCACTGCGAGCTGGTGGTCAGCAGCTGAAGGCAGGATGCCTTTCCTCAGCTCCTGGCAGTGCCACGTGCAGTGATGACAAACCACCTCTTTTCAGTCACCACCTCTTTTCAGTCACCACTCATACTCTGGGTTCAGAGTGGTTCAAAAGGTTGCCCAGCTGAGGCAATTTCCATGTAAAAACAGTTTACAGTAGTTTAGGCTATGCCTGTCCCCATTTGATTTAAGAGCATTTAAATAAGTTTGCATATGCTTAGATAAAACAGCTTAAGGTCACAGCCTTGGATAAAGCTGAGTGTCCTCCTTCTGAAGGCTGGCAACTCTCCTCACTGAAAAGCTTGAGCAAAAGTGTTTGCAGTTACAGCCTTTGGGTGATTCGAGGTTTCAGGGAATCATTGGTATGACCCCAAATCTTCCTGCAGCCTGAGGGAGGCCCATCTCCATCACAGAGCCAACAAACCCACCCTCCTGTGCTCCCCAGGTGATCCCTCGGGCAGGCCCACCAGAAGTACTTGCAGGGTGGGAACACCTGCTGTGCCCAGGTAGCTCACCACGGGCTCCACGGCAGCCTGACAGCCCCCGTGCCCTGCCAGAGCAAGAAAGGAGGGCTGGCAGCAGGGCAGCACACAGCCACGGACAAGGACATTTGTCTCCTCTGGGTTTGGGGCTGCGGAATAGAGGAAGTGACCCGGGGAAGAGTGAAGAGAACAACACCGAGGCAGCGGGTCCATTCTCAGGACGTGCCCACAGCACCCGTGCTGTTTGTCTGTCCCGGCAGGCAGCAGAGGGAATGCACTCTCCCTCTTTTAGCTCTCTAGGAAAACCAACAAGGCTGTTACAGAGCTGAATTCTGGCTTGCCTTCTGCCAGAGGGTTCTGGTGGCTAAAGGAGGGCAGCAGCATCTGGCTCCCACACTCCTGTACTGTACTCTATCTCAGACATACTTTCTAAAGCTTTCCATGTCTTCCCTCCTTGACTCAGATTCATGATTAACTACACACATGAGCAAGCAAACTAAAGAAATAATATACACTGTATTTGTATGTGTATATAATATTAGTCCCTTTTTGAGGCTTGGAGATATTTTCTTCTCCAGCCCCCTTTTTAGGTGCTATTTTCCCTTACTGAGGCCAGCAGGATGGCAGCCAGAGAGGCAGGACAGAGCAGGACAGCCCTTCCCTGTCAGAGCCCCCGAGAACTTTCGGACAGACACTGTGCTCCCTTCCCAGGGCTGTTTGTCCCAGTACTCAAGTCTCTGCTATCGGCATGTCTTTGGGAATATCTTGTGGCAAGGAGAAGCAATTACCAAATTGAGTGTGCGGAGCATAAAAGCCAACTAGGGTTCTTTCTGGATGAAAGAGGCAATAAAAATGCTGGTATTAATAGAAAAATATTTGTTACTTCATGGGATATCAGGGCTTCCTGTGGTTTGAGGCTGCGTCTTGCATAGCTCGTTGCTGAACGCCTCAGGATGACTCTTCCCTTTTTTTCTTTCAGCAGCAGCCTGTTGGCTCTCCAGCCAGTGATCTGGTTCACAAACAGTGGTTCTGTGCCTCCTTATCAGCCGTCCTCGTGCTCCTCTCCCCTTCCGCAGCCCGCGCCGGCGCACATGGGCCGTGCTGTGTCCGCCTGCACCCTGCCTGCAGAGACTGCACAGTGACAGCTGGGCTGTAGGAAAGCTGCTGCTCTACCTGCCTGATAGCACTGGAAAAACAGCAGCGTTTAACAAAATTAAAGGACAGAAAATTCAAAACAAATGCAAATTAAAATCCTACTACGTGCACTGGAATTGCCCCGGAGGGCCCTCTGCCACAGCGAGCTATTTCTGAGGCCAAAAAAATTACTGAAAAGCAGAAGAAGGATGGGTAACTAGGTAAATATTGAGAATAGCAGTGTCAGAATGAATCCTAACATTTGTATATCCAAAGTTCACAGTTTACAGCTTGTAAAAGTCTAAGAAAACAAAAAGGATCGTGAAATCTAATATAAATCTCAGATCACCACCAACCCACCTGCTCCTTTACTGCTGAACCCCTCCTCGGTGGCCTGCTGTCCTCCAAAAAGCATCACAGGTTGGCAACACTGGTGGGATGCCAGTCTCTGCCCCCATGTTCCTCATGTATCCCTGTCCCCCAGTGCCCATCCTTGCAGACAACAACTCACAGAGACTGCTCACACAATTTTTTCCCCTCAGGCTCTATGAAAGCACCTTCTCTTTTCTGCCTTTCTTGGACTCTCCTGTGACTTCCTTAGAATCATTTAAGCTGAAAAATATCTCTAAGACTGTCGAGTCCAACTGTTATCCCAGCATTGCCGATTCCTTGTTGAACACAAGCACTTGATAAGCCCTCTAGGACAGAAACTCTTCTCTGCCTCAAGCTGCTAATGCAGCACTTTCCAGCATCACAGGCAGAGCCACAGCGAGTCACCAGCATCCCAGCAGCCAGGATGTGAGTTATGAGTGAGGCACACCTGGGTCCTGCTGATGCATCACAGCTCGTGGCATGCGGATGGGTCAGGAGGCAGGTGGAGACCTGCTGTGGGGACTGTGACCACGCACTGCTCAGCAGCAGCACAGCCCAGCAGGCTCGACCCTCCTGGGGAGCTGTGTGTGCCCAGGAGAGCCAGAGAGCTCAGAGCTGCTCCCCAAGATGCCATGGCAAGGTCCTGGGAGAGGCTGTGCCCACCCACACAGAGGATCCCATCCTGCACAGCTGCTGCCCTCCCCCGCTTTGTCCCTGCCAGTCCACTGCTTCTCCTCATCCCTGCATGGCAGCACTGCCACCTTCCTGCACTTCAGTCTGTCCCCCAGCTTGGGAATGTCCTCGAGTTACCAAGGGCATGTTCTGGCCACCCCACAGGCCTCTCATAAGGACCGAACAGCACCAGCCTGCAAGGAGCACTTCCTTCCACAGCCCAGCTTGGTGTCTCTGGCAGATCCTGGCCGTGGGCCCCTCCAGGGTCCCCATCGCCTCAGCAGAGGTGGCTGCCCTTGGGTGACCCCAGCGGTCTCTCTCAGGTCCCTCTGTGTGACTTTCCTTCAGAGAGCAGATGAATCTTCCTCTCCTCCACCCTCTCAGCAGCGTGCCTGGTGTTAGTGAAGGCTGGAAAGGGTGACTGCCAGCAGGAGAGGAACGCACGGTCTGCAGCAGAGGAGCAAGAGCTTTCAGCCCCAGGGGCTGTTTGTTCCCTTCACACTGGAAGGACCTGTACGTGGCAGAGATCCCCGGGATGATCTGTGGGTTGGTATCCGAAACTGGCTCATCAGCACTTCACACACACGAGCTGATGCAATCGGATCCCAGCGCTGCAGCCTCATCAGATAATCCACAATTACGAGAAGCAATGGCGCTGCTTGGCTGAACGAGCTGAACTTACTGGCCCAGCTGAAGTAGCTTAATTAAAGTCACTGGAAGGAAGCTGTGATCATCCTTCCTGTGAGTAGAGATACCCACAGGTTTATTGCTCACCATTTTTTCTCCCAATTCCAGATGTAAAAGATGGAGAAGCAGTTTATGTAGGAAGCTTCACTGGCATCCTGAACTGTGAATGAAACATGCCTGGGTTGACAGAAAACCAAGACAGAGTTCACTGGGCTGTTACCCCCTGCCCAGCAGTGACCCTCACTTACCTGCCTATAAATGTGTTGACAAAATTCTTCACCAGTTCTAAGCAACAGAGCACAAATATGTTAGAAGACCCCTCCTGTTGTGGAGATTAACTCTCACTTGCAGAAGAGGTGGTGATAGCATGCAAACAGATCAACTCCTGCTCAGACTCAGTTCCAGCCACATTCCAGTCTCAGATTTATCAAGGGATGCATCTTGGAGCACACAGGTTGCTCCTGGAGACATCTAGTGAGGTAGCAGTGTAATGCAAACCAGCACAGGCACCCAAAACATTCCTGTGGAGAACTGTGACCCCATGCCCACTGAGAGCTGTGAGTCCTGTGCAATGTATGAAACAGGGTGTCAAATTTCTGGTCTCTAAGACGCACCTCTCCAGCTCTGTTAACAAAATCTTTCATTCTCTGTGGTATCAGATTTATTTATCTTATGCTGAACACAACAGGCTTAAACACACGTCTGTGCACACACACTTTAACTGCTCCACTGCTTAACAGGCACTTCTACATGTTAATTACACCAAAGTTAAATATGTACAAGACCGCTTTTAAAACTTTAAAGAAATAGTTTAAAACTACCCTAAAGGTATACGAAGCAGCAGGGAGTTCACCAAAGCACATTTCACCTTCCAAACAAGCGGATTACATGAAAGCTGTGGTAGAGCTGTTGTATATTGCTGGTAAAAGAGCTCTGATTACCTTTTAGTCATTAAGTCCTTCAGCAGTTCAACTGAGTAAATACCAGGGTCTCACAGGCAATGTTTGTTTACATGTAATGGAGGAAACAAAGGAGTTCCTCACTGTCTCATCTCCTCGATGCCACCTCAGCCTAGGGTAGCTAAAACATTTACCCCAGCTGCGGACACACAGCTGATTTACATGGCAGCAGGTGAGCTTTGGAGAAACAGTTTGTCACCTGCACAACTGGCGTGGCCTGACCTACATAAAACAAGGACAGCAAACCAGCACCCTGACGTACATCAGTGCTTTGCTTAACTAGACTGATACATTTGTGCCTGAAAATTGGCATCCGTTATTCAGTCAAACTGATTTTCAACTTCTATCACAAAGCTGTATTTTCAAAACCTCTCAGAAATGGGCCGCTCCCTCCAAAGAGCCGTGGCACCCAACTGCCCTGGAATGGCAACGGCCAGAAAAACCCCACTGCAGGAAATGGCCTCGAGTTGTGCCAGGGGAGGTTTGTGTTGGATATTGTGACAAACATTTTCATGGAAAGGGCTGTCCAGCCCTGGCACAGGCTGCCCAGGGCAGTGGTGGATCCCCATCCCCAGAGGGATCTAACAGCTGCGTGGATGTGGCACTTGGGGACGTGGGTTAGTGGTGGCCTTGGCAGTGCTGGAAGAATGGGTGGAGTTGATGGTGTCAGAAGGCTTTTCCAAGCTAAGTGATTCTGTGATTCCATGTAAGGAAGCTGTGCTGGAAAAGCATCAGAATCAGTCCCTACTTCAATGAAGGAGAAATGGGTTAATTTGTGGTGAACGAAACTCCTAATTAATCAGCCAGGATTTCCCTTGTTTGCACTAATAAATGAAACTGCTTACCTGAAGGACAGCACTTCACCATTTACTGTGTGAGCAACCCCTCCAAAAGAAAGGCAGCCACATCACACACCTGTGCTCTCACTTGTTTCGGTGACAAAGCAGCCCCAGTTCTTTTTGGTGACCTGTAACAGCCTGCCATGCAAAGCCACAGACAACAAGTGAGCACTCATCAGGACACTGTATTTTGTAAAAAGCAAACAAAGAAGTATTTTGAAGGCAGAGGGGAACATGAAATCACCTGAGACCCTTACCCAGCTGCTGCACTGCATATTCCTCAGGACAAGGAAGTCTCTGGACATGCTTCAAATTCTTGTCCAATATACTGTATTTTTTTCCCCAAATAGATATGTGCTGTATTTCTACTGGCTATTCCAAAAGGAGAGAATTAAAACCTCATCCAGAACATGACTTCATTCTCCCATATATATATTTTGTATTTAATGTCACACTTTGGAACCCAGCACTCTGCTGGTGAACGCGGATTTAGCTCTGCTGATGTCACATCTCTCTCAAGTGAAGCAGGGTGGGTTGGAAAGCAGTGCAAGGTCTTACCTAGACAGACTTGCTCAGGAAAAATAATCTAAATTAAGTCACTGCCTGACTTTAAGTGGATTAGTTAAAATGCATTCAATCCCTCAATGCAAGTTCTTATTCGGACTCAAAATGACCTAAATTTGATTTACCTCCAGTCATTTCCAAACTTAAATAATATTAAGGCAGCTTTCAATCAGAGATGACCGACCCCATGTATGTAAAATACAGTTTAAGCAATCCACTTACACAGACAAGGAAAAAAAACAAACAAGAAAATACTCCCAAGTTCCTGGCATTAAACTGCTGATTGCTGGGCCTGCTCTCCATGAGTTCAGCGGTTAACAGTGGCTGTTAACCACAAACATTTTTGTGCTCCTAATTGCCTTAAACCAAAACTGGAGCCCAGGCAAAGAAAATCAGGAGATAAAATTGAACTTCTGCTCCGTGTCAGATTTTTTTTCCTGAATCAAATAAAAGCAGTGGTGGGCTCATCTGCTGCCCGTGAACAGGAATGCAGTGAGGAGAGCAGCTCTCCAGGAGCTGCTGGGGATGTGTCAGGTGCCACCAGCATCTGCTTCAAAAAAAACAGACACAGAGAGGGAGCCTGGCCACGGTGTGACAATTCCGTCCTGCTGTGGAGCACCCCTTTGGGGTGCAAGGGAAAAAGATGGGGGCAGGGGAGTGTGGCAACAGCGAGCTTTAAATATGTCAAAGGCTGCCTTGGAGAGAAGGGAATGCTCTGTTTTCCATGGGGCAAGAGGTAATGGTCAGTGACCCCATCGAAGGAGGTGAGCCCAGATGGTAGGAAAAGCTGTGCAACAGGAACGCTGCCGGGGCACGGAATTCCAGGAGGGTGGGACTTTCAGAAAGGCATGAACATATAAGCAGCACAGTAAGAGTCTGGCAGGTCTGAACAGCCTTAATAGATGTATCCCTGGTGTCAGGTGTGGGTCAGGATGAGGAAAAGGTGTTGGAATCTGGACTGTTGCTTTGTCTCTTACGGAGATGACAGAGCAATTTCCATATTTGGGTCTGCCCAAAGACATGCTGCTATATTTTCTGGAATAAACGATGAATGCTGCAGAAATCTAAACATGACTTTTTATAGTCAGTCCTCCAGGCACACAGCTATTGAGTGCTGAGCTGCCAGCCCCAGCTATGCAGAAACCATGAGTCAAAGCCCCTCAGATGCTGAGGCTGCCTTGAGGGCTCTGAGATGCACAAAGCAGGGCTCATTCTCCCTGCTCCGCCAGCTTTAGAGGAGGAAAAGGTACAGCGATAGGCACTGCAGTTCCAAAACCTCTCTGCAGGCCCAAATGGGAAATTTCCTCACTGAAAAGGCAGGAGAACATGGTGTTCAGTCCCATGGCTGGGGTTGCTGGGGATCTCATAGCATCTCTGGCTGCTCAGGGCATGTAAAGCCGGGGCTCAGCCAGTCCTGGTGCCCCCTCAGCACCCCGGCGCCGGCCGGGTCACTCTCCTCCTGCAGCTGCAGCACGTGGGCACTGCAGGGCTGGGCAGGCAAACCCCAGGAAGGGCAGATGGCATGTTTCTGTGAGAGTTGGCTGTACCTGGGGCCAGGTGCCTGGAAGACTTTTAGACCAGTGTCTGCCATCACATCCCACAGAACCCACTCAGGGTCTTGTGGCCGGCAGAGACGCAGCCTCTGGGAAGCTCTGGAGCGGGGCAGCCAGCGAGGAAAGCAATGAGCCACATCCACAGCATCATCTCTTCACCTGGCCAGGGCAGGTGGCAGAGCAGGACTGCGTCCTGAGCCCGCTCTCCCCCAGCAGTGGGAGCTGAGCTGGATCACAAAGCGCCGCAGTTGTTCACCCCGCACATCTGCAAGTTGTTACTCACTGAGAGGCAGCTGAGCTGCCTGTCCTGGTTGTAATAACACTTGTGGCTCTTTTCACTGTTTTGGTTTCGCTAATTCCTTGGTTTGGTTTTCCCAGACAGTGCCAGCTGCATTAGCAAAGGCAGGGACTTTCAATAGGCTCCACATTCTCTTGTTGCACAAAGCTGGGACCTCAGAGTGCATCTTCTGCTGAGAGAGAACCGGCTCCGAGAACAAGGAGAAACCACCCCAGCCACAGAGCAGCAGGTTCAGCCAGGACATCAGCACACTGTGACCAGCTCGGACCAAGCTTTGCTGGCCTAGTTTCCACATGGGCAGCTGGCTCCGGGGGTTTTCTGTCCGGATGGATTCCAGGTGCAGGTCAAACAGTAGGATGCTCTGATTAGATCCAGTCCTCAGCTCAGTCAGCTGCAAAAGGGATGAATTCAAACCTTTGCCTGACCTCAGGTAGATCAGGCCTCCTCTTTAGCAGTGATAACAGGAAACAGCTTTGAGCTCCTCTCTAGCAACCAAGTTATATGGGCTTTTAAAATATGTACTTACATGTTACTTACAAAGGTACCTTTGGTTTAGCTAATTTTAATCACACTTACAACTTTTTTTTTCAACTTATATAGTGCAAAGAGTAAGAAAGTCTGCAGAAGCCACAATGTCCATAATTGACACTGAATCCTGCTGCTCTAGCCCTTTTTTCAGGAGCTGTAAAGCTCTTGGGAGGGCAGACACGCTTGTGGGTTATACCCGATGCTTGCTGAAAAGGCAAATCTCAGCCCAAGCTCAGGGGGCCTGGGTAAAGCCTACTCTCAAATTTAAAAAAATATTGATATTTCTCTACTCACTGCAGTTCAGCCCTGAGAATGTTACCAAGCTCTCCCAGGCAGAGCAGGCCCATCCACTGGGACAGCCCTCACTCCCAGCGCAGCAGCTGCCACCCCATCCCTGGGGACCCTGGGCAATGTCCTTGCTGGGGGCTCTGGAGCATCTTCTGGACTGACAATGAGCAGGTGAAGGAAATGTCAGTGCACCTTCTTCTTCTTAAGGCAGGTTCCAGCACTGCACACATCAGAAAAGAAAACAGGATATGGTGAGACAGCAGTGTTACTGCTCGAAAGCAATAAAGAGAATGGATCCAGAACAGGAGCACCTGATCCTTGCTCACTCACAGCCTGACTCCAGGAATTATGCTGGTCAAATTTCATAAGTTTTGCTCTTCCTATTAATCTTCTCTGCTTAAGTAAAACAGCCCTCAGAAAGGGCAGAGCCATTACACACCTTTGGGTTTGTTTTGCTGACAGCAAAACCTGTTTAACACCGAAGAAGAGAAAACAAAACTTTCTAAGAAGCAAAAGTATCACAACCCAAAATCTCCACTGCCTCCCATGGCTAACACACCTTGAAGCTTCGTTAGCTTTGTGCTGGTTTGCCCTGCAACTCCACGATCCCAGTTCCCTGTCCCACTTCCCAAGACTGTCTGCACTTGTTTGTAAAGGAAAAACAGATCAGCTCAGGCTGATGCATTTTTCCATGGCCAGTAGGCATGGCCAGAAAAGCACACAGATCAAAGCAACAGGGTCAGGAGGGAGAGCCTGAATGTTAGACCCTGCTAAAAGCAACAGATGACACTCCTACTGCTTGGGAGCACGGGAGGCAGCCCAAATAACTAAAGGGATCTGTGTGCTAGCTCTGCTCCAGCCCAGCCAGCCACATAAGGTGACTTCCAAAGCATCCTGCACAGTTGCCATATCTGTGTGTGCTGGCCCCTCATTTCACCTCCAATCATCTCTCCAGGCAGTGTCCAAGGGCTCTGACGTGCAAGTCTTCCCTGGGCTCATTCCCCTGCTCCGGGGCAGAGGGGAGGGAGCAGAGCAGGGATCAAAGTCACCCAGAGAGCAGCCACTTCCCGACCCTGCCTGGGCCACCTTCCCACCCCATTCTCATGGGGGGACTCCCAGGTGTGTCCTCGTGCAGGTACAGTAACCCCACTGCTTGGGCAGGGTGACATGGGAAAGGCATTCTGTGGGATCACTTTGGATCTACACATCTTTAAATCCCTCCAGGAAGGGTGACTCCACCACTGCCCTGGACAGTCTGTTCCTGGGCTTGACAACACTTTCTGTGAGGAATTTTCCCCCAATATCTACTACCCTAAACCTCCCTTGGCACAACTTGAGGCCATTTCCTCCTCTCCTGTCACTTGTTATCTGGGAGAAGAGGCCAAGCCCCACCTGGCTACAACCTCCTTTCAAGCAGCTGCAGAGAGCTAGGAGGTCTCCTAATGTTTGCAAAGAATTACTGAATTTGCTCTTAAATCTGCCCTGAGCTTTATTCCAGCTCCTCACTGTCCTTCTGTTTATAAGCTTTCCCCTTGTGCCTAACAAATTGCCTCAGGCGAGATCCCAACCCATCCCATTCTTTTCCTACCCACAATAAAAACTCACAGAAAACAGCAGTGTTTCATTTTGGAGCTATTTTGAAAAGGAATGTAATCTCCAAGGAACTGGGTAATGTCAGAAAGTGACCAAATAGCACAACAAATTGGGCTCAGAGTTTCAGAACTATCCAGGCTGAGCACTGGGCTCAGATCAGTCCCTGTGAGCAACCATGTGGAAAAACTGCCCTTTCCTAAGCTGTGGTTAACACTCCAGCAGCAGATTTTCAGGCTGTGGGCTCCTGGGTGAGAGGTGCCAATGGAACAGGAGGAAATGGGGCTGCCTGAATTCAGCAGGCATTTCCCTGCCTGCCCCCAAAGCTGCTCCTCACAGCCCGTAGGAGAGCTTTAGGACAATGAGCAACTTCCACAGCCCCTTTGGCACAGGGCAGGAGCCTCCCTTAGGATCACTGGACACTGTTCTTTTATCAGCACCAACAGGGTTTAAGCCTCCCCTTGAACCCCTGTTTGCCCATGGAGGTGACCACACTGCTGGGCAGCCAGAGGAACAACCACAGCTCCAGGTCTGGGACCAGCTGTCCCAGGAGCTTCCCTGCTTGGAGGACAGCAGGATCTCAAGGCTGCTCACACTCACAGAGGCATCAGCTGCACTGGAAATCCGCCACCAAAAAAGCCTGTGGGAGAGGCTGGGACCGTGGTGAGCATCATTTCTGCTGGACCAGGCTCGTTCATGGCCCTGCTCTGAGAACAGGCACTGACACTGCACAGACTCACCCCAAAGCAGTGCCAGGGTCACTGCACACTCACCTCAAAGCAGTGCCAGGGTCACTGCACACTCACCTCAAAGCAGTGCCAGGGTCACCACACAGACTCACCCCAAAGCAGTGCCAGGGTCACTGCACACTCACCTCAAAGCAGTGCCAGGGTCACTGCACACTCACCCCAAAGCAGTGCCAGGATCTCTGCACAGACTCACCCCAAAGCAGTGCCAAGATCACTGCACAGACTCACCCCAAAGCAGTGCCAGGGTCACTGCACAGACTCACCCCAAAGCAGTGCCAGGATCTCTGCACAGACTCACCCCAAAGCAGTGCCAGGGTCACCACACAGACTCACCCCAAAGCAGTGCCAGGACCCCACATAAACCCGGGCAGTGACCCACGTGCTGCTGCCAGAGGAGACAGTCAGTGCTTGACCTGCCATGACTCTGGGTGAGGGGTTTAGCCACCTGCCTCCCAAGGACGTGCTGCTGTCCCTCATCCTGCTTGTCCACCCCTGGAATTCAGGCATGGCTTCAGAAGTTCCTGGAGCTCCCGTTGCCCAGGGGCCCGAAACCCCAGCACGGCACCTGATGGGAAAGAAAGCCTGGCTGCTCATGGCACAGCTGCCCTGGGGACAGAGGTGCTGGGGTGACAGCCAGCCTTGGGCAGCAGGGACGGATGCCATGGGATGACCAAGGATGACCCTCCCTCCTGCCCCGGAGATGAGAGTTGTTTCCATCAGTACATTAATTTTTCCTTAAGCCCTTTTCCTGGGAAGGGTGACTCACTGCAATATCCATCTGAAACGTTCTCCTGAGGTATTTTTAGACAACAGTGGTGGTGGTCCAGTGAGTCATGGCTCCAGTGCTGCCCATTAGTGCAGAAAGACATGGGATCCAGTGTAATGGATTGTTTTCCAGGGCTGCTTCCATGGAGTTCTGCTTCCCTGGCAGTGCCAGTGCCTTCACACCCACCTCTGTTTCCCTTGCACTGTGTTTAAACGATGGGGTTTGTTCCCTCCTCACAGACAAAAGAAGTGGAGTAGTCACCCAAAAGCCCTTCACCTCCAAATCACTGTAATCCAACGTGATTCACTGCACATACCAGTGCCTGTTCCTTGTGCTAACAAGGGAACAAGGCAGGGAATGCTTTGGAGAGCTTCAGCAGTTTGCCTACAATAAATCTCACACTTTGGAGGGCTGGAAGAGCTTGTGGGGAGAGCAAGTGAGAGGAGAGGTTGCCCTGCTGCCTCCTGGCACGGTATAATGCAGCAAGTGATCCAGCTTGTTCAATAAGAGAGCAAAGCAGGAGGAGGAGAAAACCAAAACCCCAACCAGAGTAAAAAAAAAAGCCCTGAGCAGCACCTGAAGAGTTAAGCCACGTTGCCACAGCATCTTCAAACCATTTTAATTGTTTGTTTTACTGAAAGAACATGAGAGGTAGGTGTTCTCATTTCATACATTTTTAAACAGAGAGGCTCAAGCTGCTCTGCTCTGTGGCAAATGGCACTTCTCAGGTGGTGAGACATAAAGCAGTTCTGTGTGTGTGTGCAGTGCATATCCCAGCTCAGGCTGTGCTGGTTTGGGGCATTTCTGTGCTCCTGGCTGAACCCCCCATCCATCACACACACCTCAGGGACGACAGACCCCGGTCCCACAGGCACCACAGACCCACCCAGTAGAGCATCCCACTGCCCCCAGGCCACGAGCACACCAGTGCAGAGCAGTGCTCAGCAACCTACATTCCAGCCTACATGATGTGAAGATTCTAAAAGCAGAGGCCAAAAGCACAAAGAGATGGACTGGCAGCATTTGGGGCTGGGCTAACACCCCACCAACACTCTGAGTTCTGCTCCCCCCGCTGGGCTGTCACAAGGCACCACTGCCCTCAGCTTCTCCTCCTGCCCATTTCAGGGAGATCAAAGACCAAACACACACCCAAACACCCAACTCCCTCCTCCCCCAAAGTTTCCCCCAAAATTCACCCCAGTTTGCCAGAAAGATTCTGTAAATCCCTGTTAAAGAGTTGAGCCCAGAGCTGCTCACACAGCATCCCTCCTGATGCCACTCCAAACTGGAGGCACTTCCACTCTGCAAACCTTCCCAGTTACCACAGGGGAAAACCTGCCCGGGCTTCCCTGCTGCATCAGACACTATTCCAAGTGGTTCTAAAGCCTCCATATTTCCCAGTCCTTTGGGAAGAGCAGTGCCCAGGCTGGTGGGGGAACGCTGTGGCTCTTGCCTGGGTGGTGGACTGAGGGCTCTGGGCTCTGGGGCTGGTGCTGGCAGCCAGGGAAGAACAGGGTGGCTACTGATGAAGGACCTGTGCTGCTGCTTTCCTGGGTTCTGCCTCCAGAAGGTGAACTGCAGGAAACCCAGATACCTGGCTGGTGCAAGGAACGGGTCAGTTGTCCCTACAGGATATTTTGGAACCAGCAGTTGCCACAGAACAGGTATGTTTGATGTCCTTTTCTTACCAAAACACAGCAGTCTGGAAGCAGAGTCCTCTGTCACAGAACGGGAAGTGGTTCTGCAAGTGCCAAGAAGCATTTCTGTGTAATTCCCAGCTGAGGCAACATTCCTGTCAACCAAACATTCCCAAGTAACAACTCCCAGCCGCTGAGACCATTGCTGGGGGAAGGAGCTTTGATAGTAATCAGAATGGTTTCATTTGAAATGGACCTTAAAGCTCATCTCATTCCACCCCCTGCCATGGGCAGGGACACCTCCCACCAGCCCAGGTTGCTCCAAGCCCCGTCCAACCTGGCCTTGGACACTTCCAGGGATCCAGGGGCAGCCACAGCTTCTCTGGGCAACCTGTGCCAGGGCCTCCCCACCCTCACAGGGAAGAATTTCTTCCCGATATCCCATCTAGCCCTGGCCTCTGCCAGTGGGAAGCCATTCCCCCTTGTCCTGTCCCTCCAGGCCCTGGTCAAAGTCCCTCTCTACAGCTCCCTTGCAGCCCCTTTGGATACTGTCGCCACCAGATCTATATTCCCAGCAGGGAAGATGTGATAAGCCCCCAACCACCTCTCTGGATAAGCAAGAGAACGAGAGGGCACTTCCAAAGGAAGAAGAAAGCGGCTCATGGAGCCTCACAGCCCAAAGGCAGATGGGAGAGGAGGAAGCGATGCTGAACCTGCTCTGGCTCCTCTTTCCCATTCCAGCTGCATGTCCTACAGCCTGCCAGAGCTCTCTCTGTGCTGCTGTCCAGCCTGGCACACTTCATTGCAGCAGGTATCAAAGCACACTTTCAAACAGACTGACAGCTGTGCTGGGTTGTGGGAGAACTCACAGCCCTGGACTTTAGGGCAGTGTCACAAATGAAGGTGAGACTGGAACCTGTTGTCAGGCAGCCACTGGTGTGGAACAGAGAGAGGCAGCTGATGCTCCACAAAGGGATCCACCAGGAACTGCAGTCTCTATAAATCAGCCCGTTTTTAATTCATTGCTCACACTGCCAAGATTGGAACCTGCAAACTCATCCATTTTGCCTTAATTGTGACACTCAGAGATTTGTCTTTCTGACTGAGAGCCAGGAGTTATTTCCCTTTTAATCCATTAGTGTTTACACATCAAATTAAACCCCTCCAATCCTTTTTACCAATACCTTTGGCCTGTCACAGTAGCATCATTTCTTCAGGCTATTCCACCCTTAAAATTCTGCTTTTTAGAGCAACGTGGCCCTTCAATTCAGCATCTGGACTGATTTGCAAAATATTGACTGATCAGGATTTTTTCCTGGTAAAATTGTTTTCTCTTCCAGGAGTCCATGAAAACCAACAGTACATTTTCACAGGACCCCTAACATAATCTCTGGTTACCAGGGAGATTTCCTCGGGGAATTTTCTACTGAGTAAACAAAAACAGTTTTTAAAGAAAACTGAGCCCTGCAGTAAATTGCTCCAGCATGAAGGTGAATTTCAATACCAGTAATTGGCAGCCACTCCATTGTTTGCCAGCACTTTAACAGAAGCTCTGGAAAAGGTTTGTATTCAGGTTGGGCTCGTGTTGGTACCTGCGGGGCAATTCCGGCAGGAAAACTCAGCATGCCTTCCCGACCTGGCACAGTGAGCACAGCAGGGGCTCACAGAGACCCCTCAGGGGCCCTGACTGTAGCCCTGTGCTCGCTGTGAGCACACAGAACTGCTCCTCAGAGCCCAGCTACGTGTGAGGGACAGCCAGACCCTGGGCAAGTGCACACAGCCAAAGCCAGACCCGGGGAAGTGCACACAGCCAAAGCCATAACCAAGCCCCCAGATTAGTGAGGCTGCTTTGCTGGAGGGCTGTAATGCCCACCCCTATTTGGCATATTTATTGTTTTCATCGCACCCAAAATCATCTTTGGCAACTGGCACAGGTTGCCCAGAGAAGCTGTGGCTGCCCCACCCCTGCAAGTGTCCAAGGCCAGGTTGGATGGGGTTTGGAGCAACCTGGGCTGGTGGAAGGTGTCCCTGCCCATGGCAGGGGTGGAACGAGATGAGATTTGAGGGTCTGTTCATATACAGCTAATGAAAACTGCTGCAACCCTCTCTGCCAGTCATCTCCTGGCCACAACTCCCCGAGTCAGCACTGGCAAAGGTCCCTGCGCTGTCAGCCCAGGCAGAGCAGGGAGCAGCAGCCTGACCCCACAGGAGAGGGGCTGAGGGAACAGCACCTAGCTTGGGAACAGCACCTTGCTCAGGAACGCCCGGGAATTTCCTCCCTCAGTGTTTATAAACGCATGAGCAAACCCACACCCCTGCCTGTTGTCTAAATAACATCATTGACAGCACTGGGAGAGAGTAACAAACATTCCTCGACTCAAACCTCAGTCTGTTCCACGGGGAGACTCCAGACCTCGCCAGGGCACAGGAAAGGAGCCAAACCTCACACGAGCTGAACTGCAGGCACTGGGCACATTTAAAATCACATAAATACTAAAAGGCAAGATTAAATAAAACCCTTCACAACTCACTGTGGGCTGCCAAAGATTTACCTGCATTTCAGTGTTTTAAAAAGCCAAGTCAGTGCAGTTGTAAACCCTCCTGCCTCTTATGAATGAACTTTTGTTAAGGAATTTATAAGGAAAAAGCTTCGAGGGGAAAGCTGAACAGCCCCCCCCCCACACCATCCCCAGTTATCCCAAACTGGGCAGCCACATGGACACGATGAGGAGGTGGATTAAGGACAGCAAACACTGAGGAGTTCACCTCATTCCGAGGTGTGACAGCTGTGCCATCAGCTTCTTCCCAAGGGTGGCCCACAACAGATGGCAAGGGAAAGGAACAGGACCAAGGTGTGCCTGGCAGACACAGCCTGTTCCACCTCAGCCTCTCCCAGCCACAGTATTGGGGGATTTCCTGAACTGGAAGCTATCTCTGAACCCAGTGCAGAGCAGCCACCCATGATTTTAGGCCATTAATTTCTTTAATCTTTTTTTCTAAAAGTTTTTGTTTCTGACTTCCCTACAATGACAAATCCTGGCATCTAGGGGTTTTCCAAGGAGGGCTGGGTTCTCCCTTTGTGCAGCACAGAGAGTAGAGAAAGGCCTGAGTATCTCCCTGGTTTTGGGTAGGCAACAGCCCAGTGGGACTGGGGTGCCTTCCAGGGCACCTCTGCTCTAAGACCCCAGCAGCCAGCACATCCCAGACCTGTCCAGCAGCCCCATCCCAAAACCAGCATGCAGGGATACCCAGGGATTCTGCAGATGTTTGTGTCTGCAGGAGGCACCATGGCCAGGAGAGAGCCTGTGTTGTGGCAAACACCTTTGTGCAGGAACCACCACCTCTGGGAAAGGCAAAGACCCAGCTACCTCCTGCACTCCATCCTTCCAGGCTGCATAGGCCATGCTGGTGCATCCCAAGGAATGGTTTCCAGGCCTCCTGTCAGCCCTTCGAGGATCCTTTGGAGATTTTGCACAAGGAAGTGCTGCAGAGAAACAAAAAGGGAAAAATAGGACTATTTCAGCTGACAGAAAGAAAATCATCTTACTGACACAGCATGAAAATTAGTGCTGAACTATTATTTAACATTCCTAAGGCATCCAGCTTCCATGCTTTTTAATGCTGCTGAAAAAAGTGCCTGATCAAGAAGGTCCTTGTCCAGCAGACATGCAGGAGCAGCGGGGAAGCCCCGCACGCTGGGCCCCAGCAGATGCTGAGCGGCGGTGCCTTCCCGCTCTGTTTTCCAGGATTACCTTCTCCTTCCCAACACACCCACACACACCCAGCACTGCCCCAGAGGGGCACGGATGAGTGGGCTGGCTGTGGAGCGTGAAGTCCCTGGGAGCAGGAGCCCATCTGATCCCAGCTGCTGCTTTGCACAACCGAGCACAGGCCAGGGAACGAGCGGCTCTGCTTCCCACGCGGCTGGAGCTGCTCCCCACGAGCCAGGGGAAATCAGGAGCCGGGGCTTGGAAGCTTCTGTGGTTCCTTTTGAAGCTCCATCCTGAACAAGTTATCTCCTTCCCAGAAATCTACTCGACACCTTGTGCAAATTCATTCAAATTAATGCCATCTAGAGGATACGACCCTGTGTAAAGCAGGACTCGCCCTCCCAGCTCTGACCACCAGGGAGGATTTAAAAAGGAATAAAGAAAAAAAAAATCCCAGCAGCTCTGTGAGCAGTGTTTGATATTGGGTTGTATAAATCACGGGCCAGATTGAGCTGCACGTATGGGAATATGAAAGAAGGGTTTGATTAACAGCTCAGTGAAGCTCAGACCCAACTGCACAGCCGACTGAGAGGTTAATTATCCGGATGAGAGAAATGCTGATCCCTCAGTACCAGGCACCATTTCCATATGGGCACGTGGGCACGTTTGACAGCTCAAAATCAGGGCTGCTTTAGCAAAGGGCGAGGGGGTGGAAGGGACTGAGGAGCATCCCCGGGCGGCCGGGAGGCATCAGGAACGCCACAGGAAGCTGCGGTTCTGCTCCCTCTGCAGCTTGCACAATGTTTTCCACTTTGGTTCCGGGGGATTATGTGTTATTTGGATGTTGCAGTGTCCGGGGCTGCTCCGGCGTGACCTGCCTGTCGGGGAACATCAGGAAGAGACCCAGCCACCTCCCCCAGCCCTGGAGAGCACCGGGCAGGGCTGAGCCCAGTCCCCACTGCATCCCGAGAACAAACCTCCTCACCTCCTGGGCGGGGCTGCTGACGGGGCCAGGCTCGGGCACACACCTCCAGGCAGGGAAGGGGTGTTCACCCGCTCCCAGATCGGGGCTGTTGGCAGCACAGAGCCCGGCTGAACTCTCGGGAGAGGCACACGCAGGGATGTCAGGCAGCTGATCGCTGTCTCTCCCTGCAGATGCGTTTGGGAACCCTTCTCTGAGGAAATGGAGACGAGCAAAGGACCTTCAGAGGAAACACCTCCCTTGACATCACCGACCAAACAGGAGATGCCACAAGCCAGCACCAACCTTCAGCCATTTTGTGATCAGGGAAAAGCTAAAGGGATTAGAGGAGAGGAAGAGGCAAAAGCTGGACAGGTTACCTGCCCAGACATAAGTGCTGCAAAGTGCTCAAACAAACTAAAGCAACGCCGTTGTGCCACCAAGAAAAGCACAAGCCCTTCTGCATGGCACACAGATATCATTCCCTTCACCCGCTGGTGGCACGGGGACAAGGAGAAAACTGGTGCTGGAATGTGCCTTGCTGGGTTCCCATCAGGCAGAGCAGCACTACCTCTGCCCGTGGTAGGGCACAGAGCCCACACACACAGGGACCTCTGTTGAACTGCCCATGGGTGATGAACCAGGTGGTGTCCAGGGTCCTTTCCAAGCCAAACCATCCCATGGTTCTATGAGCACCTCCATTAATGAGTGTGAACAGTTTGAGTCCAAAGGATGCCAGGCACAGGAGGTGGAATTGCTTTCCAAAGGAAAGGGGTGTCATTCTTTGTTTCCAAGCATCACATTTAGGCACCTGAAGAACAAAAATGCAGGGCACCCACCCAAGGATTTCCAAAGACTTTGAAGGCAGCAGCACTGGAACATCCCTGGGGCTGGAATATCAACAGTCCAAAACATAATCCCAGCAGGAGTTACCGAATCGCTCCAGTGAACAGTAGGCTGTTTACTGCAGGTTTTATGAGCTTTTGACATGAATCATCTGGCAGAACTGAAGCCAAATAAAGGAACCAACGAGTGAAAATACACAAGCATTGTTAGCAAAAAAAATTAAAGAAAAAGGAAAATGTTCTGCTTTCACTCATTTCATGGAGCTGAGGGATTATTTAAGGAGCTTGAAATACACAACTGTCCTTTGCTGCCCAGGGTCACGTCACCTTCCCCCAGGGATGTCAGGAACAGCACACCCTGAGGCTTGCTCTGTAGTCAGCAGAGGAGAGCACACCCAGGGATCTCTACTCATTATAAAGAGCAGGTAGGAGTAAATTTAACATCTAAAATTAGTTGAGATTATGGTCACTCTTCAAATTTGAAGTTTAAATTACGCTTGGAGTGCCCGGATTTTGATGTTCTTATTTGAGAGAGGGGGCTCAGCTCCATACAGTTCATTATTTATGAGCCTGAGAAGATCCCCTGACACATACTGAGTGTACAGGTGCTTTTCTGCCCTCTTCCCCAGGGCATGGAGCCCTGAGCTCTCTGCCCAGACCCCTGGCAGGAAAGTTTTGAGTCAGGAGCAAAGGAAAAAAACCCTCAAACCCCTCTAAGCATTTTCAGGACAAGCTGTATGCTGCCTGAAACTGCAAACTTGAGAGCTGTAATCTGCTGCAGCAGGTGATGCCACAGTGAGGGGGCCTGACCCAGCCCTGCCATCTGCCCAGAATTAACAGGATTATCATAATTCACCTTTTTGTACATCCCAGTCAATTCTCTGCAGGCTCCAGGTGCTGCTTCAGGGAAGAGAGGGAGACACACTCTTGGGGCTCCATTGGAATGTGTCCTCCCCAAGTCACGTCTACTTCTGCCGGGCTGAGGTCACCCTTGTCAAAGGGATCCATCTTCCTCCCTTTGTTCTGGTCTTCTCTCTTCTCTGATACCGTTTCCCAGGTTTCCTCAGTTATCAGAAAGAAAGAGAGGGAGAAACTATTTAATGAAATAAAAATAACGTCGCAGAAGATGCTCTTTAAGAAATTATAAATGTCAGCATTTGTATAGAAATGGCAGCTCAGACTCCCAATGCATGCAGTAATAACACAGAAAAAAATGTGCCACAGAAACACGGCACACAAAAAATATACCACACAGAACCCATGTTTGTCCTGGGTTTGGCTGGGACAAAGCCAGTTCATCAGCTTGGCCAGTGTCTGTGAGCCACTGCATTTCTCAGCTGCTTCCCAAATCAAGCACATGGTCATAAACCAATTCAGGGCCAGCAAAGGTCTTTGGGGGGAATTCCCCACGGAATCAAACTGGCTGCTGCAGAGCTGAGGAAGGTTGTGGATTTTAGAGTTTCAGAGCTGCAGAAGGCACCTGTGGGTGGGTAAGACCCTCAAGCCTTAACTCTGCCTCAGGGTCTCTGCACATTTGGTTCTTATTGAAATAAATGCCAGTGTTGTGGGCACGATGCTGGACTGTGAGCAGCACAGAGCTGAGCTGTGCCTGTGCAGGGCCTTGAATCAGTCACGGGATGGTTTGGGTGGGAAGGGACCCCCAAGCTGGGGTCCTCCTGAGCCCCCTGCCATGGGCAGGGACACCTTCCACCACCCCAGTTGCTCCAGGCCCCATGCCACGACGTCCCCAGCAGGCTGGCAGTGACACAGAGCAGCAGCCACACTGGAAAAGGTCAGGGTTAGCACTGGGCTCACAACTCCTTCACCCAATTTTAGCCTGACATGATTCAGTAGCACACACCAGACACGAAGCCCTGCGAACCAGACGCTGCTGGTAGGAAGCCTGGCAGCTCTTGGAGAGGGGTTTTGCAGAGGCAAAGATGTCACATCACTTCCATCGTCAGTTTGTCTTTTGCAGAAAGACCCAGACTTAAAAAAAAACCCACCCAAGAATTCTCTGGGGCTTGGATGCAGTTTGTTTGCCCCAGTCTGAAACCCTCTTGTGCCAACCCCTTTGTAGGGGCTTGGTTTCCCAAACACAGCCTGAGATCACCAACACCTGGAAGGGTTTCAGCAACACACTTAAGACTAAAATTGTGTAATAAACACAGAAAGGTAATACCAGGCCTCTCTACAGAAACATTCTCATTTCACCCTTAAAGAGATCGAAAACCCATTAGAGAAAAACAAGAAGGAAGATTAAGTGTTCTCCTGTAATGCTCCTATATTGTGTTTGCTTAGGTTGCTGGATTAACAAGGAAACAGGATTTCATTACATGCATGAGAAAATTAATACAAAATTAAATGAATACCATTATTTGTATTACTGAAACAGAGCAAAATGCAGGAAGAGCAGCATTTTTAAGTGGTAAAAGGGTAATGTATCACTTCTTCAATTATAAAAGCTTGTATTAGAATCACGGAATGGTTTAGGTTAGAAAAGTCCTCAAAGATTGTTGAGTCCAGCTGTTCACGCAGCCATGAAGTTAAAAAGAAACAATTTTAGTTCCCCTTTAAATGAAATTCACAACGGCTCTGAGAAGGAACAAACAAATCTATTTCCTGCCCACGGCCTATGGCAACTTAAACATCCGAGCTGGTGGAGATTGTCCTGGGACTCCAGAACATTATGCAAACCAGAAAATAAGCTAGTTTGGTAATGCACAGCTATTAACTACCCCCACCTATGTACAATGGCATTGAAATAAGGCACATTCCTAATGAGAAGAGGGGAAAACAGTCCAAGTGGCTGATGCAGCACTGCAGCACATTGTGAGCAGGGACACGAAGCTGAGCAAAGGTGAAGCAGCTGTCAGACAATGTCCATGATTAATACCCAAGAGCCTTCACATTCAGCTCCATTGCTCTTACAAAATCTGAAACCACAAACCAAAGAGGCAGGACTCTTCCAGAGAACAAGTTCTGTCCTCCCACAGCTTCCGAGAGGAAAGGAAATCGGGTTTTGCTGCAGTTTAACCTTTGGTCTCTGGAAAGAGAAACTACAGACATTTATATTTCTAAAAATCCACTTAGTATGTGGTTTGCTTTGACTCCTGAGGGATTAAGCAAAAGACATGTTGGACTTTAGGCTCCCAAAGCTGTGCAAATCCAACTGTGGGTGTTCAATTAGGTCAGCTGGGTGATGGAAGCTGAGCTCCCCGTGGGAGCATCTCCTCCCCATCTCCTGGTCCAAAGCAATGCCACAGGACTGAGCCCAGAGCCCCACGGGGAGCCCAGGGCCAGCACCAGGAGTGGCTTGGCCAGCCCCCAGCCGTGTCCCCCAGCAGCAGCCAGTTCCTGGGATACCTGGCACTGGTGTCCTGCCTTGGCTGCCTTGGGCAGGATGGGCAGTGCCCGCGTGGCTGTCCCAGGCTTGGCTGGGTGCACAGGAGCTGCACACGAGCAGTGACTGGGGGATGCACAGACAGAGCTCCCTGCACGTGTCAGAGGAGCCCGTCGGGCAGCAGAACGGGGTTCCTCCAGTGGCTTTACAGGGGAAGCTGTAACACGGACAGAAAAGCCCTGTGAGGCTCACAGGAGCTCTGCTGGAGCAGCCTCAGCACTCAGAGTTTCAGCCTTTCGGCACACAATGCATTAATTCATGGAAGAATTAAATCAGCTTCAATTAAAAATCAATTTTGACATGAAGCAGATTTCTGGTTTCCGAGAGGTTTTCGGGAGAGCGGTGGCCAGCTCCAGTTCCCACTGCTGGAGAGCAGCTCCAGCTGTGATGTCACTGGCACATTTTTTGGCACGTTCTCGTGGCTGCTCCCACCCCGTGCTGATGGTGTCACACAGGACCAGCCCCGGGACCTGGAGCAGCACATTTCCAGCAGTGCTGCCCATCGCAGCCCCACTGAACAACATCTGCTCCAAATGAGCATTTCCTCACTAACACACACGGAACGCGTTGGCCGTGGGCTGGGACACAGATGTATGGATTGAACCATCCAATAATTTCCATACAGAACAAACGCAGTCAGCTCGCACTGAGGAGACAATCAGGCGTTCAGTGAAAGCCACCAGAAATAGTGCTGTGCCTCGGAAACCTTTTAATTCTTCTCCTCTTTTTAATTTTGTACTTGCCCTTGCTTTCTGCCCCTTATTATTGTTTTTCACTTTACAATTCCCTGTGCTTTGCATAGGAAGAATGCTTGATCACTTCTTCTCGAAGCCACCGATAAGAAAATTAAATCCCTTTGGCATCACTGCACAGGGTGGTTGCATAACAAGGCAAGTATATATAGAAATTGCATTCCAAGTGTTTACATAAGAGCTCGGAATAACACAGATGTAAAATAAAAATCCAGCTCAATTTACGAACCAGCCCTGCAGTGCTTTTGTGTCTGATAACGTGGAGCGAGTGAATCAGCTTACCAGGGGTACACAGGGAATATTAGTCTGGTGCTATTTACATAACCGGGAGAGAAAGATTAAAACGGGGCAGACAAGTGTGTGTAAAAGGGTGATTTGCTTATCTTGGAGATCTTCTGTCTGGCTAGAAAGACTGACACAGAAGCTGATGCTTTAAAATACTCCAAGCTGCCCAAAATCTCCTCTGGTTTCTTCAAGCAAATTGATGGTTATTCTAAGATCAGAACTCCACAGACTCTGCACACTCTTCTCAGTGGTCTCAGCCTGACACTTGCAACACAGAACAAGAAAACCCAGGTTTGTTCCACCAACCTTGGAGTAACTGTGCTCCCAAAAGCAACTGGAAGGGCATGAACTCCTGGCTCACCATAATTTAAAGCTTCTTTACCTTGCTGCTTTAAACACCTGGAGAAGGGCAGATCCCAAAGGGCCCCCAGAATGATGGGCTGGGGAGATTGTTGGAGATAGAATTAAATGGATTCAAATCTATCCTGTAGGTCTCCAATCCGAGGCAGGTACATTTGTACACAGGCACAAGCTGGAAAGCGCTGTTGGAAAGGTCAGCAGCACTGAAACCCAAATCATCTCACGTCACTGAACATGTCCATTCAGTTCCTTTAGTAGAATCATGGAGCTGTGTAGGTCAGACAAGCCCTCTAAGATCACAGAGTCCAACATTAAGCCCCCCAGTAGCCCTGTCCCCAAGAGACATACCAAGCTAAACTCAAATGGGAGCTTCCCTACTGCAACGCTTTCCAAGTTTTGATTTAGTGCCAACTGAGCAAGTCAGACTCCAAAAGCCAAACAAGAAGCATCAGCCACTAGAAGAGCAGGGCTGTGCAATGTCAGCAGAGGGAAAGGGGCACCTGCTGAAGCAGAAAGCTGCAGGTGCTCACGTGGATCTTGCTGAACATTGTCCCTGTGCTCAAATGAGCAGCAGCAGGGATGGACAGCGCTGCTTCTGTATGGAGCAGAGCCCACAGCACACCAAAGAAGTTTTCCAGTCCCAACATCCCCTCTCAAGCTCTACAGATGAAGGAGTGTAATCATATATCTCCAAAATGCTCCCACACAATCCAAAAGAAAAGTATTACATCTTCAATTTCCATGCTAATTACCCAGTGGCACTTTCCCTTAAAACAACAAGCAACTGCGCAAGATGTTTGTTATTTTCTCCTAGGGAAATATATCACCAAATAAGAGGGGGAAAGAAAACAGTGCAGAAGGTGAGCAAAGCATTGCTCACCCCTGATACCCCGAGCAATTCCCAGTCGGGTCCCTGCACAGCTCAGCTCCTTCACCTCGGGGGGGGGAAGGTTTCCCCACCCCAACCTCCTCGGCAGTCCCTGGAGGGTATTCCACAGCCACCGCGTCCTGCTCAGCCTCCCAGCAGGGAGAGCACCCGCAGGAGTTTACAAAATACGAGTATGATTGTTTTTCTAGCAGCAGAATGTTATAAAACAAGCGTTCAAAGTTTTAGAAACGATCAGGATAACCAAACCCATCAAAGGTAAGCAGCCACAATGCGCTGCAGAGTGTGCTAATGGCCTTGGGAGCTGCTGTTTGGGTTTTTTTGTTTGGGTCTCCGGTGTGCTGGGTTTTTTGTCTGTTTGGTGATCAAATGCGGGTTGGCTGCTGGCTGGAGCTGGGACACAGAAGCGTTTATTTAAGGCAGCAGCCAGGCTCAGTTTGCTGCGGTGGCTCTGGGGCACGGAGCATGCTGGGCACCCAGCTCATCATTCCAACCAAACGTAAAATCATCTCATAAATAAAATGGCTCCTCTCAAAAACCTTTCTATTCTGAGCAGCTCAACCTAAGGATCCTCTGCACTCCTGATGGAGAGCAGTGCTCACTGGTACTGCCTGGCCTGGGGGGTTTGGGTGTTGGTTTTAACTAAGCTGCATCTTGGGTGCGTTATGTTAACGTCACCCAAACCTCAGCGCCCCCAACCCTGCTTCCTTCTTCTGATCTCTCCCTCTGCAGCATCCAGATCCAAAATGCACTCTAAAATAGAATTTAATTTATTTCCTTCTGGACAGTAATGGAACAAATGGGCCCGTGGAGATCAGTTCAGCCTTCTATTACTGTACATGCATTAAACATTAGAACTGTTCTACTCCTCCTAGCAGGGACATGAAAAATGCACAGAACATTTCCAATCTGAATTCCACAGTTATCCATAATGCTCTCAAAGTTTTTTATTTTTTCAGATATC